AAATTATTATAACTATAGATACATACAAGTAATATTCGAAATACTAGTAAAAATTTTTAATTTTAACAAAATGGCGGCTTCGCATAAATTGCTTAAAAATCGAAATTGTTATCAAAAATCGGATTTCTTCGATTATCACCTGACAAAATTATTTAAGATGGTCGTGTGAATATTTCAAGCCGATCGGTGCAGCTGTTTCTAAAAACAACATTTCGAGAAAATCCACTTTCTTCTCACTAAATTTGAAAATTCATATAATTATGCTCATTCTACTGTGAATCTGCAGTTAAAATTTCAAATGGATACGATATTGAAAAATGCAGTTTCGAGAAAAGTGGTTTGAAAACTTTACGTGCTTCGACAGTATTTAAATAATGTTTTAGGATCCTAAAGTGTACTTTAAGATAAAAGCAAAGTTTTTATAATGTTCGAAAGTCCGGCGCTGGCCTAACCCCTTAAATTCAATTGACAACTCTGTAAACGCTGATGAAAGAAATTCGAATTATAGACATTGTTTTCAAAGAAGTAATCGGTAAATAATCGTTTAATTTTAGCCAGAATTTGAACACGTGAACCGCTAGAAGTGATGGTTTAATACTATTTATTTTCTCATTCTCTTTTTCTTATTGGTGAAAATTGTTCTTATAATTTATACTAAACCAATAATTCCAACTTATCCTCGAACTAACTTACTGACACATCATACAAATTATAAAATCTTCAAAATTATTTATATATAATAAATTTAAAAATTTTCTCTCAACTCTCTCTTATTCAAACACCTTGTATTTGCCGGCTAACTTTATGTATGCGCATAACATTGCTGTGCTATTTATGTTCTGCCTTTGCAACCACAAAAAAAGTCGAATAACAATTGTACAAGAACAACACGACGTTGGCACGAACAAAAACAAGGCCACCATTTTTTCTTTTCAAAAGAAAGTGTCGTCCACTTTGTTTCCAAGTTGGCGAGAAAGTCTGCCTTCTTTCCACAATATCCACTTTTTTTTTTTGCTGTTTTTGTTTTTGTTGCGTCTTTGCCCATCCCCTTAAATAGCTTACCGCCCTTTTGCTGTCTTACCGCCCGCTGCCCTCTACTTGCATTGCCAGCCTTAGCGAGCAATCATCAATCCAGCCACTACTCACTCACTTACTCACTCGCTCACCACACAACGCTCGCCAATGCAGTCATTGCATAGAAAGTGCCAAAGAGGTTTGCTGCCGTCGCCAACAAAAACAAAAACAACAACAATACAAATGTGTTATGGAGAAGAGAAAAAGTTCGTTTTGAATTTTATGTCAACTTTACAGCAATATTTCCCCTCTTGGAAGTGCCGTTAACACAAAAGCGCTTAATAAATTTCCCTTCAGTCTCAGCAAATCGATTCTCTGCTCTCAGCAAAATTGTCTGCCAGCTTAGAGCAGCTACAGCCAATCAGCGCCCATGTGGGATGTGACCTCCTCTCCATTGCACACACAAGGTAAACTTAATAGTGCATGAGTAATTTCCTTCGCGCACACGCTCACTCGCGCTTGCTAACGGCCACATGCATGTGACTGTGTGTGTGCATAGATGACAATGAATGTTTCACTTGCGCTCCGTAGAGGGTTGATGCCAGCTGAAGTTGAGTAATAATAATCATTGGGTCATGCGCGTTGTTTGGCTTAAACTTACAACCCTTGCCAAGTTAGTGTTATCGCATTGGTTAGACAGTATTGCCATGTGCACGAAATATTGTTGTTATTATTTGTATATTATTTGTTGAGTTTTATTTTTATAATAGTGATTAGTTCTCATATAATTATATAGAATATTAGAATTGATAAAATGAATATAAACAAAAGCAAGTATGGTGTGATAATTATTATGTGTATTTCTTAATATAAATAAATATGTATACAAATTATATTTAGGTTTAAAAAATAAAAAAAAGTTAAATAAATGTTAGTAACTGGCAAAAAAATATATTTATTTTCTAATTTTTTTATGTTGTTTTTTTTATATGAAAATTCGTTTAGATGAATTTGACCACTTATGACATACCGATAATTTTATAAATAATTTTTGGTTCGCGGGTTTTTGAATTATGAAATATTGATAAATTTTAAGGTGTTTTTTTTTATTGTATGGATGAAATAAATATTCTATAAACTTGTAGAAAGATATTAAATAAAATAAGTATGTGTTAATTTGAAAAAATTAAATATTTTCCTTCTAAAATGTAAATCCCAAAAAAGTAAATATTGATTAAACTAAAAATACATTAGAAAACTCCAGAGTTGCCCCTTTAAATTCTAAAAAATGCTAAAGAAGTCATTACAAATTATATATTACAAATTAAAGACCTATACAAAAATATTTAAAGTCGTATAAAGAAGATGGAACCGATTAGAAAACTAGAGTGCTCCGAATGATAAATTTAGAAAAAATTTGGCAATATTTGCGCTTTTGCTGACGTGCTGGCGACATATTAGCGAAATTTTGCCAAAGACTGTGTATGAAAAATTTTGTAATAGTGTTTTCTTTGCTCCTTCAGGATAAAACTACTAGGATTCACCACATTAACACTCGAAAACCGAATTTTAGTTATTTTTTAATGGACCCATTAAACGGTCTGAGCACGTCCTTGAGTTAGCACATGAAAAAAGTTTGCTAAGCGAGTAGATCCACAGCTTAAGCGGCGTAATTTTACTTCTCAGAAAAATTTTACGAATTCATGAAGAAATTGTGGCAATCCTGCTCAACTTCCTATGCCCGTTTGATGGTGGTTGCTCCGGCCTCTGTGTTTATCAGTGTTCACGTGTTATTGTTGTGGGAATATTATTGTTACTTGAATGACTTGTAAACACACGCAACGCGTACGAAGGGTTGAACTGCTATAAATTTCTTGTTTTTTTTTTTGTTTTTTGGGCATGTTGCAGCACGCTGCGGAATATACTCAGCGCTGACAATGCCAATGGGCGCCCAAAAAGAGAATCACACGGCCGACTTTTATATGTGCGCTTGTGGATAACGGTGTTGGCAGTGAAATGTTATGATTTCATCGTCTGCAAATTCACATGTGAACTGACAGCGGACGTTGACGGTTGTGCATGCGAGTCAAAACGTAAAATAACGGTATACACAAGCGCATACAAACACAGAAAAAATATATAAATAAATAATTGCAGTGTGTTTGAAAGTAAAAAATATATATACATATATCTATATAAAATAAATACATACATACATACATATAAAGAAAGTGAGTGCCGCAAGAGTGTTGCCACATGTGATAAAACGCTGAAGTGGTCAGCAGTGAAAGTGCAAAATGTGCGTGAAAGCTCAAGCTTTTTCCTAAAACACATTTAATAGAATTAAATGCGGGTAAACAGTGCATGATTACAACAACAACAAAAATTAAATTGGTGTACATAAGACATAACGGTGTCTTAATCGAGAGCAAAGTTGCAAACGCCGATAGACAATGCTTGAATTCTATCCAATGCCCACAAACTTGAGTCGTGGCGCTGGCTTTTATTCACACCATCATCAGAATCATGGCGGTACGCGTACATTTGGTAATGCCCCCAATTCGGTTGGGACCGCAATTAATGCAACTGTATTGAATAATAGTAGCAACTGTGGACAGCAACAGCAGCAACAACAGCAGCAATATCAGCAACACCATCAGCAACTACAACAACAACAACTATCGCAACAACAACAACAACAATTAACTGCCTCTCCGACGCATGCAACATGCGCTCCACTTAATCGCAGCAACAGCAGTACACCAACAACAGCGGCCACTACGACGCCCGCTACACCAACTACATCCGTTTCCGCAACTGCAACAGCTAGTGCGTCCGTCGCGTCAACGCATCGCGGCGATCCGTCAGCAAAGACTTTTAACATAGCCACAAGCGAAAAACCCACTGCGGTAGTCCCCGAAGTCAATTCCAGTGCAACACTTGCAACCGCCATACCCGCGTGTCCCGCCGCCGCCGCCGTCACCTCCACGGCACACATTTTAATGATACCCACTTCAATTTCAACATCGTGTTCGTCATCACCTTCGTCGTCGTCATCCTTAATGACGGTATCAGCTTCTGTTATGGCTCCAGCACCGGCCGCTTTATTGCCGACGGCGACGGCGAAGGCGACGACGACAGCATCGCTGTCCGAGCTGTCTGCGAGCTGTAATGGTCGAACAGGTATAGTAAATAGTTAAGCGTTTTCAAAAAGTTTTGAATAATTTTGCGCAACAACAGCAACAAATTTCTATTGTGAAAAGTGTTAAAGGCAAGCGTATCTGGGCAATTATCGAGTATCGTCGAGACATTCGCCTACAACATCACCCATCTGCTAGGCTCTCTGCTAAGGTGTGTAACTTCGTGGAAATTGCGGTAAAATGTTAAGAATAGCTTTGTGAGATTTTAAAAGTAATCAATGTCAAGTTACGCACACACACACGCACACAGTGGTGCTGGTGTTAATTATCGCAAGCATATAGGACAGTAGTTGCTTTTTGTGAGTTAACTTTACAAGCAGTGATTAATTCGGGTTTTTCTTGAGAAGATTTAATACAAGTTTCGGTGCAATATAAGATTTAAAAATTTATATTATATATGTAGGTATATTAAAAAAAAAATATTTCACTCATTTTATTAAGTTTTAAATATATTTATTTCATATCAATTTTCAGTTTCCTTAATTTTTTCAAACTTTTCCACGACATTCAAATATATTTATAGCCATTCTATTCTGCATTGATATTTAAATTAATACCAAACAGCCGTCGCGGTGTAGCGGATCTAGGGGTTTGAGTACTAGACAAGCTTCAGGGGTCGAGGCTGCGTATTTAAAGGTAAACCGAATTGTTTGAAAAAGTTTTTTCATTTAGCTGCTACCAAGTGAAACTTTTTTGTAACCCACGCTGCGAAATTCATTACTTTATTACATGCGTAATTGAAATACTGAAAGTATAACTAAATATTGAACGGTACTTCGCGCTAAATCAAAGTTAAATTATTTATTAATTAATTATTTACTAAATTTTGTAATATGAAGGTGGCAAGTTTCTGTAACGATTTCTAATTTCTAAAATTATCCGAAAACTTATCCAGATGATGCCAGAGAAAGGCTAACTTAATACACATGTTTGCTCCTAGATTCTAAATGTTTGGCGTCATATTTTTCACAATTTTTTCATAATGTCACGCTTTATGGTTGCCTAGGAAATTTTCTAACCTCAACTCAAAACATTTCCAGATACAAACTTTTTCAGTACAGTCAAAACCTTGAAAAAATGTGTAGCTTTCATTAATTGCTCTATTTAAATATTCCACCATTCAACTTTTCCATACTAAACTTCGGAAATAATCTACAAATGTAATTTAAGCAAAATCCTTCCACGTCCAGCGATTTGAAAAATTTTTTTTTCATTCTTAACTTGATCACGCCTTAAATTACTAAGAACATGTTCAGAAAACAACATTTGACTTAGCGGCCAAAAGCTCTTCCACTCCACACTTCAAATCTTTTGGGAATTCGGCAATATCCTTATTTTCCATGACCTGTCTATAACTCTTGAAAAGCAAAGGAAAATTTTCATTGAGTTAAGCTGGACATTTTGCAGAGTGTCCACTTTTGATTTTTATTAAAACATTCTGCATTCTTCACAAATCATCTGTAAGGGCCTGAGAATAGGGATCACGTGAGTAATCATGACTAGAAAAAACTAATAAATCGTTAATTAATAAAAATATTCATAAAAACAAGAGCACTTTCAATACTTTCGGAAATATATTCGTAATTTGGGCACTTGAAACCATTAAAATTTGCTCAAATATCCAGGGCAACAATATTTTTTTTTTGTTTGTAGAGTTGTTCTTTCAAGTTGATATAAACAATCATTTGTTGGATTATTTCGTGAAGATATTTTGTCAAATAAAAAATTTTTTATACAAGTACTTGATTTTAATCGATCGGTTTAAATATTAACTTCATGCTATAGTGTTCCGATATCATCAGTACTGACAAATTATTAGATGCTTGCGGAAAAAATTACGCAAAATTTCAGATCCATATCTCAAAAAGTGAACTGATTTCATGAACAAGTGTGATATCCACAGTATCAAACCCGTACGACAACATTCAAACTAGCAAAAGGTAAACTGCATCTAACAGGATTAATTTATTTTTAATTAATTGACTTAATAAATACAAAAATCTCTTTGCAATTGACGGTTATTTGCACTTATAAAACTTAAAAAATGCATAAAAATTTTTTACTCAAATTCGAACATTGAAAATTTGTTGTTTTATTTGGGCAAGAAAATTTGAACATAATAGGGATTATGCTGAAGCGTTAGAAAATGGGAAAAAATAAAAAAAATTCATAGTGAGATGAATCTATTGGTAAAGGGAGATAATATAACAAAAATGTAGAGAAAAATAATTTACGGGCGAGGTTGAGAAGAGGAAGAGGAGGGGGGTGGTTGAATTTTTCAGGGTCAAAAACGGTTCATCGCGATTTCAGGCAAAACTATGAGCTATATGAAAAAAAGTTGGATGACAAAGTTGTAGGCGATGAAAAAGTCTACAACTTTCTGACACAGTGCTCACATTTATTTAACATAGCTTCAAAATTTATATGAAAAATTAAATTTTTTACAAAAAAGTTTTATCTTTCACGAAATTTGGATTAAAATAATCTTTTTATGTTCCATACACTCTGTAATTTTTTTAACCTCAATTATTATTTTTTACCTTATTTCACAAATTTTCAATCATGATTCAATAACATAAGGTTGTGTCAATACGGAGTGTGCTTCATCTTACGAAAAAGTATTTTAAACCATAATGTCAAAATCAGCTGTTTTTTATTTTTCTCTTGAATTTTCTTCATTTACATTTTGATGATTTTGTGAGATTTTCAATATGTTCGTATTCAGTTATCACTCAAAAATCGCATTTTCATTGGCTGAAATCTTTAATTTTCCTATCATAAAAACAAAACAATACAAAGCAAAACGACTGATTTTGACATTATGGATTCAAACACTTGTGACCAATTGTTGTTTTTGTAATTTTTAACATATCGCACGACTTTTTTGTTTATTTTATTGTTGTTGTTTGTTTTTATTTTTATTTTTAAATGTCTTAATAAAATTTCTTTCATTATCTCACGCAGTTATAAACTTGCTTCTCCCAATTCGAAGTTGAAAAATATGTGAAATCTAGAAAATTTTATTCACAGCGATTGAATTGTGATTCCAGATGAATTTCTTAACGCATAAACTACATTCCATGTTAATTCAAAGAGTGTGCAAAACACTGAATTCTTCTGCATTAAATACTTACATACCTTTTAGCTTTAAATTCGGACGCAAAATAAATATATTTATATAAGGAAGTATCTTTAAACGCCCACTGGCTCTAATTTTCTGCTAACCTAGTCCACAAGTCAACCAGCTTAAGCCAAAAACCGTTATGTATTTACATATATTTTTATTTATTTATTGCAAGCCAAATAAAGGCACACGCACGACAAATTATAGTCAACTGTTTGAAGGCAAAGCCCTAAAGCAAACACACACACATACAAACTCAAATACAAATTCACACACACCTACCAACAGACTCACAAGTGCACGCACCTACGCGTATGCTACACAAATTGTGCCTTTTATACAGATGCGCGTGTGTGTGTAGGTGCAATTGGCGCCGCTTGCTTCGTTTGGAATGCGATGCACGTAAGTTGACCACGAAATTATGCCGGCAATGAACCTGAAAAGCGCACACACCAATTATATAACACAGCGATTGGATGGCCACTAAAAATTTGCATGTGTCCATCAGCACACTCACACACACACACACACATACATTCACATAAATACCTGCTTAAGCCATCATGAAGCGCCATTTCGTGCATTTCAAGCACAGCAAATTCTTCACACACACACACACACGCTTATATTATCATAGAAACATCCTGTACATCCACTCATTCTTGGGTTGATAACAGATGCCACTTCGAATTTTTGAAATAAACACACATTTTTCTTACTAAATTTCATTCGCATGAACTTCTAGAATTTTGCAAAATTCGCAAACAATGTCAGAATGTCGAGAAACGCCTCAAGTCTACTAAATACTACTACATTGCAGATAAATGTGTGTGTCCGCATGTGTGTGTGTGTCGCAATGCATGTCTAAACTAGTAAATAATCGTACAAGAGCTCATTTAAATGCATATTATTTAGAATATATGTGATATATGTGCATATATATGTATATACATATATATATGTACATAAACGTGTATGTGTGTAGGAGCTTCCATTGCACTTTGGTTTAACGTTTTGTCGCAGCGCTGTGCTCAACCACAAATATTCATGTTGACATGTGTGCATGCGAGCGACAAGCCGTCGCCAAATACAACTCTGCGTTGTGGGTGTTCGACTTCAATTTCCAACGGCTAGGATACCGTTGGATAAATTGTTACGTTCACCCCAACCGCTGATGAGAACTTTAAAAGGTAATGAATGAAACTTCATATTTTAAATTTGTAGGAAAATAATAATAGTACAGTTTACATGTTGTTTGTACCTACTTGTAATAGAATTCATATGTTTTGGGCTTTTTTGGGTGTATGAAACTCCTAGAATAAAAATTGATACTACCTCGTAATCTTTTTGTTCAAATATAAGTTAAAAACGGATAAAATTTTTCCTTAACACAAAATGTAGATTTTACTAAGTTAAGACCCTTGAAATGTCAAGAAAAGAAGCTTAAAATAGTTTTCAGCTTTTTCTTTAACTACTATACTATAAAAAGTGAAGTGCTAAGCCCTCAAAAAGAAAAAATTAAAACTATAAAATCTAAACTTCGGAGCAAAAGACCGACGGGCTGTTGTTGGTTTCCTTGCTGAATTTATTTTTACATCGTCTGGACCCAATATCTAAAACACATTCTTAACATATTTTTACTTTTCACTTAGGATATTGGAAAATATGCCATATCGCACTTTCTATTTTGAGCAAATTTGTGAAATTTCTATAGAGTACATCCGGGGGATGCTGGTTAAGTAATTATCAAACATCATATTTATTGTCCAATTGGGCTCAGATCGGGAATACCATATATAATATGTTGTGAATAGAAAGAAAATTCAACTTGCAAAAAGCCCTGTCAACTGGCATCAAATTCAAACCAAACCGAATTGATTAAGTTAAGAATTTCTAAATGCAGAGCAATCGAAATCCACCCGCTCGTCTAGACCGAAGACCCAAAAGCCAGATGATGCTTTACGAATATTTGTGCTTGAGTACAATTCAAAAATCTGCTATTACCTCGACTGCAGTCGTGAAAAATCGACTTATTATAATGTTTAAATTATTCGATTGTGTAGGCAAATTATTCAAAGATACGATAGAGCTTTCTAACAGAGGTAGAGTTTGCAGAGTATTCTCACTTATAGTTAATACTCGACCCAATTATCATATGTATTGTTGTTGAAGCGACAGAAACCATACCTGAGGTAATTTGAAGAAACGCTGCCGAGTTGACAGTACGTTGCCGAATAAAAATCTTGTTCCGATCCGTAAACCCGACTGTCGTGGAAACGGATCCCAAATAGCATCGACTTCCTCGGTTTTATTATGTTAAATATTATATGGCTTTACGAAAATACACTTAAAACTGCTAACCAATTGAAAATTGTAGAAACACACACTTAGATGACCCCGAGATGTTTAGAACATTGAAGAAACGAGCATAACTGTTTTGCTCATATAGCAATAGAAAGTATGCTGTACACAAGCAATACAGTCTAATATATCAAGAACAATGTTTTAACCTCACATTTAACGAGGAACTAAAGGAGTTCTTAAATTTTTCCTAACATCTTTGTACCCTTTATATACATATCAGTTCTATAATAGAAAACCGGATATCACGAAAGCTTTTAAAAATTATATTTTACTTTCAAATTTCGTTTTCAAATATTTTCTTCATAAGTAGACATACATACACATGTAAAGAAATCCAGTAAAATTGGGATTTTGGAAATGGCCATTTGCATCGACTATTTTCTGACAAATATACATATCTAAAAACTCTTTCACTAATCCTTTTATCTTTGCGTATGTTCCCTTACAATGAAGTTCGGAGAAACTAGAATTGTATACTGTTTTTTTTTTGTTAATAGAAAAATATCAGCGCTCTGGCTCTCCTCTACGCGACATTGTCGAAAGTAATCACAAAACTGGACGATATAATTCAGTACAAGAGAGTATAAGGATACATCATTGAAGTGGTTTAACGCGTTCTTTTGTATTGTCTATCCGATTATGCCAAATTTAATTTATACCAGTTGTAAGTTCGATTCGCCTCTCTCCCAAATTTTGCAAATCTAAAGCATCTATTGTACTATACTTATACCTTATACCTTACACTTTACTACAACAAGTACTTTGAAGTCAAATTATCAAACAATTCCATACATAAACACTAACATAAGCAGCTTAATAAATAACTATCGAATTTATGAATTAAAATTAACCTGTATAACTTAAGAAGTATCTACATGCAAGGCTGGATTTTTAGCTTAATTTTAAAAGGTGTCGATGAGAAATCAAATTTTCTCATATAAATAACACGAAAAAGCATTTTTTCAATAAAAAATACCATAATTTTTGAACCAGTTGGGAAACATTTTTTACATCCCAGATGTCTGTAGAGCATAAATTTTGCTAAGAAAAATTACCTCAAGGGGAGTTTTTTCAGTTCAAAAATGTTTATAATTAGCTTACCGACACCTTTCAAAATTTTCCTAAAAGTCCTGCCATACTAAAATATGCATTTATACGAGTAGAATAAAAAATAGCAGTGTC